AACACACATGGGCATCCCCACTGAAGGACACAGCTTCTCAAACATACATGAGCTTGTTATGTTCAAACACAGCAAAGAACAGAACAGCTCAGTGGAGAATTTCATGAGGAGTCTGCTGTGCTTTTGACATTGTCAGACATCTTTCTGACTGGCCTGTCCATTTACATGGTATACCCAATTCTCCACTCAGGTCTATTTTTTTTTTTAGTATTTTTTAAATCATTATTTATTTATTCGAGAGGTAGAGTTACAGACAGAGAGAGGCAGAAGACAGAAAGATCCTCCTTCCATTGGGTCACTCCCCAAATGGCCACAATGGCTGGAGCTGGGCCGATCTGAAGCCAGGAGTCAGGAGATTCTTCTGGGTCTCCCACACAGGTGCAGGGGCCCAAGCCCTCGGGTCATCTTCTGCTCTTTTCCCAAGCCATAGCAGAGAGCTGTACTGGAAATGGAGCAGCCAAGACATGAACCAGTGCCCATATGGGATGCCAGTGCTGCAGGTGGAGGCTTAGCCTACTGTGCCACAGCGCTGGCCCCAACTCAGTTCCTTTCAAATGCCTTGTAAGTAAGCTGTTGAACTCACATGGCCCAACAGCTTCTCATAGGATGCTCTAAGGCATCTTCCATGATCTGTGTCTCAAGTTCCCTTATGCGGAAACAATGGTGAATGAGAGCTGTCTAACCAAGTATTTCTGAAACAGGTGAGTGTCAGACCAGTAGCCGAGTACTTTCAGGACACAGGGTTCAGCAGTGTAGTATGAAAAGGATAAAGATGCAACCCAAACAGAAACCTCAAATGATGGCGCACGCCCCATGGACGTTCACTCGGGATGACCGAGTACCAGGTAGAAAGGTCCTTATGCACGAGGACCCAGGCCAGCTGTCCCCTCCTGCCACTTGGTGTCTGAGAAGAACTGACCACTGATTCTGCACAGGGGTCCTGGGAATGATCAGTGCTGCTGAGGGAAAAGCCTAAAGACAGCACAAATGCTCGCCACAGCCCTGCTGATGGTTCTCACCCAGAATTCTCTGACACACTGCTTGCTTGCTTGCCTGCCTGCCTTCCTCAACCACCCATCCATCCTTTCTACTGAGGGCCTTCCACAGCCTGGCAGCAGGCAGCAGAACCAGAGAGGTTCAACTTCACCACAGTCTACTGTGGAACATAACAAACACATGAAGCAAACAGTAATTCAATGAGGGTTTTCCATATGTATTACAAAGGAAATTGATGGTGCAAAACAGCAAGAACTGACACAGGAACCCTGTTCAGTCTAGGATTTCAGGATGCATTTTCCATGCTTTCCTCCAATGTGCAGGTCCCAAGCTGGTCTAACACCCCTCCAAGAAACCACAGTGCAGTGGTGTTGGAAAAACACATAGAGCCCCACCCAGCAAAGAGACCTCCATCCTATCACTTATGAAAGAGCTTCTGAAAGTTCACGGAAAACTCATATTAAGAAAAAAAAAAGCATGGATTTCAAGATCTTTTGCACCAAAATAAACTCTTATTGTAATCCATTTATTTCCATAAACTGTCCAAAGTACCCTCACATCTTAGGGACGGCCATTCTGAGACCACGATGCAGAGGTCTGTGACTCGTAACCCGGTGACCCAAATGCCACTGCTCTGTAAACCACGGTTCAGCAGCATGACTGGACACGCCCTCAGCACACAGAGAGCTGGGTGTGCCATGTTTATGGACACAGAGGCTCAATCCTAAAGCTCCCTCCAATAAAGCTGCAACTTCAACAGACTTCCCACCAAAAACACCAGGGGGCTGCTTTGTTCTTGACTTTTATTGTTTAACTTACCAAGCTGATCCAGGAACTCCCTGGGAAGGCTAAGACCAAAGAACAGAGGGAGGGCAGGTGCTGCCTTAAGCCTCACAATAAAACTTCTGGTGGCATCGAGGCAGCGAGAGACAGAAAGACCAGTGGAGCAGAGAGCCGAAAATCATGTCTGTGGTTTTAGAAAAACTGGCATTATGAACATTTGGGAAAGGATGATCAGTAAGTACCACTGGAGAAGTCAGTTACTGATACAAAAATAAAACTGGACCTCTACCTTAGATAAAAAAAAAAACTTGAGATAGATTATATCCTTAAATTGAAAAATACAACACTTTAAAATTCTTGGAAGAAAACATTCTACAACTTTTGGGGGAGGGAAATATATCTTCAGTAAGACGTCGCCTGTGCAAACCACAAGGAAGAGACTGAGGGACAGGTGTCGGAGACAGCAGTTACGACGCCAGTCGGAGTGCTGGGGCTTGATTCCTCTCTGCAGCCCCTGCCTCCAGCTTCCTCTCACTGCAGACCCTGGGAAGCAGCAGTGCTGGCTCGAGTGGCTGGGTCACGGCCACCCACACGGGAGACCTGGGCCGAGTCCCTGGCTCCCTGCTGTGGCCGGGCACAGCCTTGGCTGCTGCAGGAATTTGGGGGGTGAACCAGAGGATTGGAGATCTCTCTGTCTCTCTGTCTGTCTGTCTCTCTCTCTCTGGCATGAAGGAGGAGGAGGGGAGGAAGAGAACAAGGAAGAGGAAGCAAAGATTAAAACTGAGAAACCTGACTTCAATGAAATTGAACCTTTTCCATGTCATAAAGAATAAAGGAAAGTCACATACTGGACAAAGATATTTATAGAGCCAATAATACTCTAATGGGTCAAGGACTCCCATCCATAAGAAGAGACCATCTACATGGAAGAGGTATGACTTCAAGTTCACAGAGCCAAAAATGCAAACACCAGAAGGTGTCCCAGCTCAGAAGTCTTTGGAGGAAGGCAGATCTAGCCTCAAGAGGCACCGTTTCACATCCATCTTGTTGGCAAGACAAAAACTGACCAGGCCTGGAGCCATCCCCAGCTGCAGCTGCACAAACTGTCACTCCCATTTCAGCAGAAATCGGGGAATCATGCTGCTGTGTTGTATGATAGAACAGAGGGGGCAGGGAGCCCTCCCCCTGCCCACGAAGCCTCTCCAGCATTAGCTGTGCCCTGACCACGCACCCCAGGTCCACGGGGAGGAGTGGCACGGCCTCCAGGAGGTCACCGGGTTCCAAGGGCTCTGGTCTCACAAGCAGATTCACACCACGGGCACAGGGCCAGGGTCCCAAAGGAGTTTGAGTTCCTCCTCCTCCCCCCCTGCCCTGTGCGCTGGCTCTCTTCCTCCACCAGGATGCAATGACGCATCTTGGACTTCCCACCCTGCACAGCTGCAAGAGATCCATCTCTGGCCTGTGAACTGCGGGGTCTCAGGTCCCCCTTGCCAATGGCACAAGATGCTAAGACAGGGACGCAGCGTGGAAACCTCCAGTCACCCACTCACAACAGAAACGACCAGTCAGCAGGTGCGCCAATCAACAGTAGGCAAACGAGCCACCCTCTGAATGGCCACCCAGAGGTCCTGGATAAATACAACGTAAACACAATGTAGGCAAATCGGCCCAGGAAACAGCATGTAGGGGGTGGTGGGAGATGAGAGAGCCACAGTTGCTCATGGCCCTGTGCAAAGACACAAAGGTGTTACAAAGTAATCCGAGAAATGGATACAACGGCCACATGGACAAAGTGTGTCTCCAGCACATGTCACCTGCAGCCCACAATGCAGTGCTGGGACTTAGCCTGGTGGGCGGTGTCTGGTCGCAGGGCCCGGCCTCAGGCAGGGGCTGGTGCTGCCTCTCAGGAGTTCTCACTCTCACCGAGGGGATCTCACCGGGGTGGGGAGGGGGGGTATTGTGAGCAGCTTGCTATAAAGCAAGCCTGGTCCCTCTCTTCTCTCTCCCTCCCTACTCTGTCTCACACACAGGTGCACACACAAATACACATTCATGCTCCCCTCCCACACAGGCACACCACGGGCCCTTCTGCTTTCCGCCACGCACTTAAGCAGCCCGAGCCGCTCTCACCCACCGAGCTGGACTTTCCCAGCTCGAACCCTAACCCCTTTTCTCTATAAACTGCGCTGTCTCAGGAATTCTGTGACCAAAGCGGCAAAGGGACCGAGAAAGACAGCATGAATGGAAACATCTTAAATATGCACGAGGTGCCTGGGTACCCTGGGGCATGCACACATGCAGAACAAACCCAAGGCTGAGCGTGAGGCCGACGCATCTGCACTCAGCAGGGCGGCCTCCAGAGACAGAAGGGGCCGAACAGCATCTGGGAAAAGTGCAACCATCACTCAGTCCCCCACCCCCATCAGGGCCAGAGAGCTCCTCAATGAAGCCAGGGCTTTCACACAGGAAAACATCAGAAAGCATTTGGCCTGGGCTTCAGTCCACACCGGGGACGTGTCCCCCATTCCTGGGATTGGGGGTTCTCCCATCTCTACCGCAGGAACCCCAAGGCCACGGTCCTGGTGCACGTTACGCTACATAATTCTGGGGGACACACTTCACAACAAGAACAGTGCCTGCTGGGGCTGGTCAGCGTGCAACCTACAAAACCGCACCCGGCAGTCCTGTGAGAGCCACAGATGCCTTGGAACGCTCATAAAACTACATGCATCCCCGGGAAAATCAGCGGCTCTGCTCCCACACGTCCCAGGGACGGCCCTCCCCTTCCTGAATACCTTATACCGGTGCCGTGACATCAAGCTCGGCCTTGAGCACCTGCCTCTTTGGAGGCTCCATCCATTAGAGGGCACCTGCTTCCTTCCCGCCCGCCAGCCCAGCTGCTGAAAGCAAGCAAACCGAGCCCCCGGGACCTCCGCTTTCCAGGCTAAGCGCACCCTTGACTCGGCTGCCTGCAAACGCATTTTAGCTTCTCGTTTGTTCCAAATGAATTTTTAAAGTGTGCAGCCTTTTACCAGGCACTTCCTGCCCCGAGAGGCAGCACGCGAGCTGTTACCAAGGAGCAAGGAGGCTTCCCTTGCGGCCACTCCTCACGCTCACTCCCAGGGCAGGTGAGTGCCCACCGAAGCCAGGACATGCCAGGCTGGGGCGAGGGCAGGGCCAGGGGAGCCTGGCACAAGGTGCACGAGTTCGTGTCCACTTACTCCCAGAATTCCATGACAGGGGAGGTGGCGTTCTGCAGGGACACGTGGCTGTGGTTGCTCATGTTCAGTTTCTGGAACTCCACACAGCGCTCTGCAGGGGAAACAAGACAGACAGCACGCGACGATTAACCCACATCCTGGACGAGGCCCAGAGCCGACGGCACGAGCAGGTGGTCGCACTCAGCAGGTCCATGTCCACAGGCCCCCAAGGAGCTCGGGGCAGGGACATGGAGACCTCACATACACCCAGCGACGGAGACACAGTCGGCGCCATCAGGAGGCAGCAGAGGTCGCAGGGGCCCGACCGTCTCTCACCCCTGTGCACCCCAGCCGCCCTCTCCGACTCTCCCAGCCTTGTCCCCAGATCCTCACTCTCCCCACTGCCCTGCCTCAGGCCCCTCAGCGGCCACACGGGAACAGAGCGCCCACAGGACCGGGTCCCTCAGTGTCCCAGGTGTGTATGCAGCCAAGACTCGGTGCCCCTTTACAGAACAAGGGGCTCAAACTACAGCAGATAGGAAGAGTGGATGAAACTGCTCGCCAAGGGAGCCCCGGTGTCGTCGTCCCTCCCTCCAGCCAGTCACTCGGACAGGATTTACTGAACGCCTTTGCGCACTTCATGAGACCTGCGGACGAATTCTCAGCTAAAAGCATTCGCACACTCATCTTCAAGGCCCAGGGCGACCTGCGAACCCCTCCTTTGGGAAGTCTTCCCCCGCCCAACCCCACCCTGGGGCTGAAATTGTACTGTAGCAGGTAAAGCCACAACCTGCAACACTGGCACCGTACTGGCTGCTCCACTTCTGAACCAGCTCCCTGCCAGTGGCCTGGGAAAAGCAGCAGAAGACGGCCCAAGTGCTTAGGCCCCTGCTACCCATGTGGGAGACCTGGATGGAGCTCCCAGCTTCAGCTTGGCCCAGCCCTGGCCGCTGCTGCCATCTGGGGAATGAACTAACAGATGGAAGATGCCTTTGTCTCTCCCTCTCTCTCCCTCACTCTGATTTTCAAATAAATAAAGGAGTTCCCTGAAGGAATCACTTCTTCATGCTCCCCTGCACCCTCTCCTTGTCCTATGAGGTCACCTGCAGAATAAGAACAAACTGCTGTAGCCAGTGCCCAGGGCCGTCCACCACCGTGGGACGTGGGGCACAAGCCCTTCTGTTTACAGGGCTAGACCTTGCCTCCAGAGGCCAGGGCCCCACATTCACTACCCAGGGCCCCGCATACCCAGCACGACTTCTCCGGGACACCACTGCCCCCTCCCCTACTGACGAGCCCTCCCAGCTGCACCCACGGTCTCTGGGGCAGGCGCTGCTTCTACACGTGGGGCACATTGCACGTGTCACTGGCTCTGCCCTGGAAGACTCCTGCTCCCCTGCTTCCTCCCCATGACCGCGGCAGATGCTCACTAGATTCTGAAAGGAACTGAGGGGGGACACACTCAGGCCTGAGAGGGGCCGAGAAACCAGCAATGGGGGCGATGTGTCTGGATGCGTCCCAACCCCTTCTCGGGGGTGGGCACTGCTTGGATTGTCTCAGGTTCTCTAAAACAGAATTACAGGGCCAGCGCCATGGCTCACTAGGCTAATCCTCCACCTGCAGTGCTGGCACCCCGGGTTCTAGTCCCGGTTGGGGCGCCAGATTCTGTCCTGGTTACTCCTCTTCCAGTCCAGCTCTCTGCTGTGGCCCAGGCATGCAGTGGAGGATGGCCCAAGTGCTTGGGTCCCTGCACCCACATGGGAGACCAGGATAAGCACCTAGCTCCTGGCTTCGGATCAGCGTGGTGCACCGGCCACAGCGGCCACTGAGGGGTGAACTAACGGAAAAAGGAAAACCTTTCTCTCTGTCTCTCTCTCTCTCACTGTCCACTCTGCCTGTCAAAAAAATAAATAAAAATAAAAAAATAAACCAGAATTACACACATTGTATTCCCAGAGCATGGGGGAAAAAAAACTTACTCCACCACCCAAGATTGGCCATTTTTATTAAAATGTTTAATAATATACAAACAAGGAGTAATGAAGCATTTGCGATGGTGCTATTCATACAACTGTAAAGGCAAAATTAAGTTTACAAACTCAACACCAACTAAGACACAGAACCGACGCGACTCAAAATAACACACAGCGGACGAGCAGGGTCAGCCATCGGGTGAAATGAAGCTGCTTTCCTAACGGAAGAGCTGCATCCACAGGCAGGGGCAGGGCCGCTGAGTGCAGCCGCTTGTTCCGGTTGTGCTACTTCACACAGACACCTGCTTCTTCCTCCACAGAGCCGTTCTTCTCCCACTGGGCTGCGTTCCCACCAGTGGGATCCATCCCACCTCTGCCTTCTCCCCGCTGGCCACCGCCATCCTCCTGGCCGTGAGTCCATCTTCAGCTGTGAACCGGCACGGAGTCAGGCGCAGACATGGGCGGTTGTGCAGACGACCCAGATCGTGCGTGTGTGCATGCGTGTGTGTGTGAACAGAGCATCCTCAGATGATACACTCACACAACTGCACCAGCAGCAGGCACTCCCAGGCCTCCAGGCACGCGTCCCGAGCTGCAGTTTGATGTACATCTTCTTGAAGACCCTGGCCAAAGGCAGGTGAAGAGCTACAGCACTCTAGAAAGGAGGCACCGCCTCCAGGAAGCCATGCCCGGCAGGGGAGCCGGGTTTGCTGCTGCACTCAGTGTCACCATTCTCCCCACCACACCAATTCCTGCGCCCAAGGCTGCAACTCACAGCCCATACCCAGCCTGGGTGCCCAAGTCTTCATTACAAATCAGACACTTGCAGGAGGGATCTAGCTACCGGGTGCTAACATGAACAGGTTAAAGCAAGTGCACCAACGCCTATCCCAAGGCAGCGCTGCCTGGCGTGCTGCTGCCAGGGGCTCTGAGGCCAAGGCTAGACTCGGATGCAAAGAGTGCCGCAATTGATTAGCGATGTCTGCTGTAAGCATAGCCACCGAAGCTGGGGCTGGGCAACATTTGCCTTCCCTGGGATTCTAAAACTCAACGCTGATAGGTCAGCAAATGCAAAAGCAAACAGGAGGTCCAAACCCCGAAAGCCATCTATAAAAGCATCCAGTGCAGGGTGGGGACGGCTAGTGAACGGCTGAATCAAGAGGACAAAGGCAGCCGGGTGGGGCCCGTGGCAACCGAGGACAACGACAGGATCCCCAGACAAAGACTGCGCAGCTTGTCAGGCACCGCCCTCGGCGGCAGCGGGAACGCGGGCCTGGTGTCCCCCGAGCTTGGGGCTTCTCAAAGAAGCTTGAAGTCTGGGTTTTCATGTGATGACTTTTAAACTCTGACAACCACGCACACTTTTAAGCTTGCTGCTTGCTGGGCTAAGGCCTGGTCAGCCTCAAGGGCCTCCGTGTACAGCCCCGGAGGGAGCCCTCACCCCCTCATCTCACACAGGAAACCCGGGTACTGGGAGAGCCGGAGCTGGCACGGTCATCCTGGTGGCCTGAATCCCAGCCTGGGTCTCTTCTCAGACCCCGACTCTGCCCAGGGAAGGCAACCACCGCTCTCCTGATTGTGCCAAAGGCGTCGACCCCCGGAGCGCCCCCAGAACTGACCCTTCAGCTTCAGCGAGTCCATCCTGGAATGCTGGGCTCACAACCAGAGCCCAGAGGCCGGCACCAGCTCAGGGACGAGGACACCCTGACCCCAGGGTGCCCTGAGGGCTGTACCTGTGTTCCACTCGTGCCCACAGGTGGCCCAGGGGAGCTCAGTGGTAAAGCAGTTGCTCAGGTAGAAGATGGCCCAGGCCAGAATGATGATGTAGTACACGTTCAGATGGGCCTCGATCACCTGCGTGGCGTAGCCGATGCCTGGAAGCACACAGCAAGGGCGCCGCGTGAGCCCGGCGCCTGCAGACAGCCCTCGTGACCCCCCCCAGCCCGCCATCCACACATCCGACCCCTCTCAGCCCACCACACGCAGGTCGCAACCCCTCCCAGCCCACCATGTGCACGTCGCGACACCCCCCCCAGCCCACCATCCACACATCCGACCCCTCCCAGCCCACCACGTGCACGTCGCAACACCCCGCCCCAGCCCGCCATCCACACATCCAACCCCTCCCAGCCCACCATGTGCACGTCGCGACCCCCCCAGCCCGCCACGCGCAAGTCGCGACCCCCCCAGCCTGCCACGTGCACGTCGCGACACCCCGCCCCAGCCCGCCATCCACACATCCGACCCCTCTCAGCCCACCACATGCAGGTCGCAACCCCTCCCAGCCCACCACGCGCACGTCGTGACCCCCCCGCCCATGCCCGCCATCCACACATCCGACCCCTCTCAGCCCACCACGCGAATGTCGCGACCCCCCCAGCCCACCACGCGCACATCGCGACCCCTCCGAGCCCACCACACGCACGTCGCGACCCCTCCCAGCCTGCCACACGCACGTCGTGACCCCTTCCCCCAGCCCACCACGCGCATGTTGTGACCCCCCCAGCCCGCCACGCGCACGTCGCGACCCCCCTCCCCCAGCCCACCACGCGCACGTCATGACCCCCTCCCCCAGCCCACCACGCGCACGTCACGACCCCTCCCAGCCTGCCATGCGCACGTCGCCTTTTGACGCCGCACTCACCTTCAAATAAAGGGCAGATTTTCCTCCAGCACGTGATGCCGCCCTCGCTGGTGAACTGGCCCAGGGCGGTCTCCAGGAAGAACACGGGGATGCCACAGCAGATAAAGAACACCACGTAGGGAATCAGAAACGCCCCTGTGAGGAGGCAAAGGACTGCGATTAAAACCACCCCGGCGGCTCCAGGAGTCCGCAACAAGCACCTGCCATGTGCAAGGCCGGCATCCTCTGAGCACCGACTCCAGCTCCCGCCCTGTGCTCCCTGACGTCCGCTGCCCCGGCTTCCCCACCTGTGCAAGGCGGCTCCAGCTGCTCAGCGCGGGACCGAGTCGCTGGGCGCAGGAGACGGTACATAAAACTTCATCTGCTCAGTTCTCTCATTCAAGCAATGCGTGTCCCAGCACAGGCCAGATCCACCCTCCCCACCCAGCAAGGTCGCATCTGTCCTTTCAAAGTCCTCCCGACAGATCAGGCAAGAAAACCCTTCATCTTCGGCAACCACGTGTCCAAAAAATAAAAAATCCAACCTTTTCCATCAAGGGAAGTATCCTCAGGGAATTATTCCATAAGTACTGTCAGGCCACAAAGAGTTAAGTGGCCCCAGCCCCACAGCCCAGTTAGGGCCTGAGGGTGCCGGGGGTCTCCCCAGCAAGGTTGGCTTTGAACCTGTCTGGGAAGCGGCCACGCAGCTCCCGTCCCAAACCCGGCGTCCACGGCCTGGGCCCGTGTGTGAATGGATCAAATCCCGGCAGTGAACCGGAGCTGTTACCACCACCAGGGGCTCTTCCCAAACCTTCCTGCCCTCTCCCCCAGAAACAGGCGGCAAAACGTGCTGTCCTCACACTCACATCTCACAAACCGCAAGCGCTCTGGCTAAGTGGAGCCTCTGTACCGGCGAGGGTCGACAGGCCCGACAGAACGGCCGCGCACGCCAGGGTCCAGAAGGGTCTTAGCTCTTCCGAGCGAGGGGCGAGTGGGAGACGTCACACAACAGCACTCGTGAAACCCTTGGCAGGCATTCTTAGAGAGGTGAGCAGTCACCAAGCCAATAACCCAGCCACAGGAGGCAGCAACAAGTGTCCGAGTGAGGGTGTCTGTGCACTGAACAGGAGTCTCGGGGGTTAAAAGGAGCTGTCAGGTGTTGCCCCCGGACCACCGCCATCTACCTGAGACCACTCCAGAACCCAGCAGACCACCCTCTCTGAAAGCCTCACGGTGTGGGGAAACTCGCAGAGCCAGGACTGGAATCCTTACGATACCTGGGGCTTGGCAGAGGTATCTGTGCCCCCACTGGAGAGTCTTGGCAAGTTAGAGGAAAGGGAAAGAAAAAAAAAAAAAAACTACAATGACTCATTTTTAAACTTTACTCACTACAACCTTTTGGTTAAAAAAAAAAAAAACACACACACACACAACTATGGCAGAATTTGTAATTCACCCCATCTACCCTGTATTCTGCTTTCAGGAATGCCTTTCGCTTTGCCATAACAATTTCCTGTATGAAAAAATGTGTTAAACTAGCTTTGGCCTGGTGTTCCCCTGACGGGTTTCCAAGTGGGCATCACAGCTTAACAAAAGCTGACCCTGCAGAGCGCGGCAGGACCCACAGCCCAGGGCGGGCCTGGAGCCTCCCGTCCACTCCCTGTGCTCCTGCCAAGCCACCAGCACCGCGGCCACTTCATGGCCAGTGCAGAGCAGCCCCGGGGCAGCCTGCGCCTTGGCAACCACCGTCTGCGAAGGAAGGGCCTGGGCCGCGCTGCCCCTTCCTGCTCCGTCCCTGCCAGCTGACTTCGGGGCAACCTTGGCAGAGGGGAGGTGGGGGGGTCTGAGGATGTGGGGGAGCGGCAGGGGCACCGCAAACAGGCAAGGGGAACACACAGACGCAGCCGTTCCTCGGGGAAACCACGCCACCTGAGAGTGCAACCAGATGGCTGGCCCTCCGACCCGCCGGGGTGCCCTGCTGACCGCGCGCACGGCCCCTGGAGGGGGTCCTTGGGTCGGAAACCCCGTGCTCTGAGCCAGGAGCCCTGCATATTCCCGGAAGCGTCTGGCGCCAACCGAGGTGCGGCCACCACGCGGCTCCCCTCGCAGTCCTGCCTCCTCTCCGCCCCAGTCCCGAAGCCTCCACACATCGCGTCCACATCAAATGGGTGCCGCTGCTACTGGGGTGGGGACTCGGGGGCCAGGATAAGAAACGGCTCGGCGCCACTTCCTCCACAGGAAAGACCCCAAGCACCAAGGCCTGGGAAGGGTCTTCGCGACGGGGCCAACCCCAGGGAGGGCAGAAAGGTGCCCCGGGCCTCGGTGTCCCCTTCGACTTCTCCCACCCTCGTTTTCCTCACCCGCCCAAGGGGCCGTCTGCTGTGCACAAGGCTGGCCGCGCGCAGGCCCTGCGAGCGAGCGGCTCCGCGCAACACCCCGCACTCGGGAAGCCCCCCGAAGCCTGCACCATCACACGGGGACAGCGTCCCTTGCCCGGGGGGGTCGTCCCCTGAGGGCCGGACCCGAAAGCGCTAGGGCTCCATCCGCACCTCGCGCTCCACACAGAACGCGTCGTGCGCCCGCCGGGTGGCAAGCTTGGGCGCGAAGCGGCCGGTGCGCACGCGCGCTGGAACAGGTGGGCCAGGCCCAGGGGCGCGCCCCGGCACAGGTGGCCCGGGCTCGAGCTCCTGGGCCACGGTCCCGCGTCACGCACGCGCGGCAGGGGTCTCGCGCGCGCCCCCTCGCTCCCCGCCCTCAATGGCCCCACCCGCCGCGCGTCACGTGTCGCCTCACCGCCTCCGTTCTTGTAGCACAGGTAAGGGAAGCGCCACACGTTGCCCAGCCCGATGATCTCCCCGGCCACGCTCAGCACGAACTCCACCTTGTTGTTCCAGTGGCCGCGCTCTTGGACCGCCTTGTCCCGCGGGTCGCGCGCAGACGCCGCGTCGCCGCCGGCCAGCGCCTCCGACTCCCGCGCCTCCTCGGCAGCCTTGCCATTGCCCAGGGGCAGCGTCTTCTCCGCAGTCATGGCCGCGCTGGCTGCCTCGTGCGCCGGCCCGGCTCTGCGCCGCCGCCCCGGGCGGGCTGGCTTTTCAGGAGGCGCGAGCGGGCGGGAGGAGGAGGCAGGGGGTGGAGCTGGGGACCGGGCCGGGCCAGCGCGGAGACGGGACTGGGGACGCGGCGCGCGGCGGCCCGGCCCGTGGGGCGCCCACGCCGCCTCAGCCCGGCTCGGCCTGGAGAGCCGCGCGCACCTTGCGCGCGCGCCCAGCCCCTTGTGCGCGTGCCCACCCTTCCCGCGCTCCTACACACCGGCCTCTTAGGACGAGATTGGAAGCGCCTGTTCAGGCGTCGGGCGTACTCCAGACCCCAGACCACAAACACCTGCGGGGCTGGTCGGTGGGGGGTGGGCCCCCAGGTGATGCTATGGCTGTGACCATGAGACACTGCAGGCTGGGGCAGCCCGGTTCCTAAACAGCGAGGAGTCGGAACAGCGTCTGCGGACAGGTGCACCTACCTGGAGTCTCCCAGGCGTCTGACCTCTCTGAGTCCCGGTTTCCCGGCCTGCCAAAGGGAACGCCATGTCTTTCCCATGCGTTTTGGTCTTTGCAGGAGGGACTTGAGGACGGGAAAGGCTAATGAAGTGCCTGTCCAGTACTGGATGGGTGTCGCCGTGCAGTGTGCGACCTGTGTTTATGTTTCTCCTGCGCTCAGCTGTAAGGATGCTGTATTCACGCTTCAGCCGCGGCACTTAGGACATGCTCATCTGTGCACGTAGAGAGAGCAGCAGCGGGGAAAGAGGGGGCACTGTCAGAGCTGCCGCCGGCTGCCTCTGTTGAGACACAGCCCCCGAGCACACGAGCCGGGGCGTCCTCCCTCTGTCCCCGGGCCCCTCGCTGGGCTCCTTCCGAGAGAGACCCCTGCCTGCCTTCAGGCCCCCTTGCACTGTAGCTCACAAGTGTTCAAGTCTCCCCCCTGCCTCTCGCCCTCGCCGGCATGTTTCTTGAAAGAGTAAATTGACTGCCGGCCCTGTCTCCACCTCCCACTCAGTCCTCAGCCCACGGCAATCTGGCGCCCACCCCCTCCACTCCTCTGGAAATGCTGTCGGTGAGGGCCGGGAGCTGTCTTAATTCAGCAAATCCTGCTGTCCCCTCTTCACCCCCACCCTGTCCAACCTCCGGGTAACTCTGCACCCCTAGTCCCTCCTTTCCTCCTTGGAACTCCCCTGGCCTGGAGCCTCAGTGGCTGTCTGCCCCCTGCTCCTTGCCTCTCCTTTTAGCCTGTAAGCATGGCCCTCCTCGTGCCTTGAAGCAGCCAGCTGAAGGCGGTGGCCCCTAAGCCTCTGTCCCCACATGCTGCCCAGGTGATCCTGCAGCTTGTGGAGGGTGGGGTAGCCAGAATTCATTCAGACACGGCGTCACCGCTGTGGCCTCAAGCCACTCACCTGTGCACTGGGTTCCTGTCTTCCAAGCCTCAGCAGGTGCTCCATGAACACCTGTCACTTTGTCGTGATGCTCACGGGGAAGGGGGTGGTGACGTCATAGCATGGCATCAATGCTTTCCTTGGTTCACCTTTCTGCACAGGGGAGAACCAAACTGCTGACCTGAACAGTGCCCCTCCCCCGCCAGCAGTCCACCTGTCCCAGCCATTCCTTCCAAGTTGATGTCTTTCTCCTGTGCTAAAACACTGGTATTTTCATCTTCCCAGTGATCCTCAGTGCTGCATAGAGAGTGGTGGTAAAGAGAATTCACCTTCATTCTTGGCGGTCCCTGCACGCAGTAGGCCTGCGCTAGGCACACAGTAGGTCTGCAGTAGCTAGGAGCCAGCCATTCAGTGACCAGCCCCATCCAAAGTTACAGTCAGGTTTCTGAACCTTGCCGTTGCAGTAACGGCAGTGATGCTCGAACCCGTGTACGGCTGCATGGGATCCGATCACAGCTTCGCATTGGGGCGGGGGGGAGGGGAGAGCCGTGGTCCTGTCCAGTGCGCTGACCTCCAGGCACTGACTGCTCTGAGCAGCAGGAATTCTACGAGACCGCATGGGGAGGGAGACTGAGGCAGCATGAGGACCCCTGGCCTGCCCCAGCTGGCATGGGAGCAGGCTTTGTCCTGCCGCTGGGTGGTACTGTGGCCTTGGGTGCAGCTCCTGGCTTCTCTGAGCTGGGAGTCCTCATTGCCTTCAAGTGAGCGTCTCGGGGTCGTCATGGAGGTGGCGTGAGACTCCACGCCAGGGAGAGCGCTGTAGGGAGACCGATGCCATGGTCTCTTCCGCTTCTGTACAAAGTCAGGTCACCCTGCTCTGATCTAAAGTCAGCAAGCCTGTATTTAGGGCCTCTCCCCTGGCTTATTTCTGGGCTGTTGAAAGACCGCGTCTTCTCACTCTGTCCTGACCCGGAAGAGCCTGGCTGCCCTCCACCAAGGCTGTGCCTCGTCTCTGGGCCTTCCCATGTCATCCTTTCTTGGTGGGAGGTGCAGTAGCCTTGAGAGCCCACGCCGGTGTCTGTGGGTGCTCGTGCTGGGGCTAGGACACAGGTGGCACACGTGGCTCACTCCAGGTCACATACAGTCACACTGGCAGGCTCAGCCAGCTTCACAAATCACCTCATATCTCTGAGTCTCAGTTTCCTTATCTGAAAAATGGGCATGCCAATGTCACCAGCGCCTGCCGGCCTACCGTGGTTCCTTTGCACTGATGAAGTAGTGATTTATGGTTTGGAGAGACAAAGGCAGGCAGAGTAAAGCACAAGGCTCCCTGTCTTCCTGGTGCAGGGCTCTTAGCCCTAAGGGACGAGGGGCCGTGCTGCTCATGATTGACATGTTTGATTGACACCTAGGAGTTGCATGGCTTCACGCTCTCGGCACACGTGACTGGAAACCAGGCTCCTCAGCTGCTGAGCTCCCATTTTATCCATTAAACCGCAGAGCGGGCGGTCCTGGGTGGGTCCTGGCAGACAGCAGGGGCCTCAGCGTCACCGATCCGCTGCTGGGTCAGGGTGGGGGGGTGGCCCCTCCCCAGTCGCTCAGGTCTAAGTATCTGCTGATGCTGATCGCATCTGCCTTCTACTTCTCAGGAGAGTTAAGCGGATTAGCATTTGTAAAGCGCTGGATCTGTGCATGATAGGGACGTGTTGGTTAACACTACAGATGCAGTGTCCGCGAGCAGCCAGGTCTTGAGTCCCGCCTTCCTCTCTTGGGGTCTTTCACCTTCTGGAAGGAGCAGTTGCCCATTTAAACATCAGCTTTGCTCGTTCACTTGCCAGATACTTCTGGCTCTTCAATAATTTCCCAACTTAGATATTGGTCACCAGGGAGCCATTCCTGGTGCCCAGCTTGCCTGGGGCGGTGCCAGAACCAGCTCACACTGGCTCCTGAGAGGGAGTTACTACCTCTTCAGTGACTTCTGTGAGCCACGCATGCTGTACCGTGAACTCAGCTCTGGAAGTTGTGTTTACAGCCCAGGGATCTGCCAACGCCACTGGTGAACGCCATGCTCCCCAGCTGGTGTGCAGGCCGCCACTGCAGGGCAGTGCAGGAGGTAGGCGTGGAGCGAGCGGTCGTGCGACGATGAGTTAGAGATGGCGGGAGATGCAGCCCGGCAAAGCCCCCATGCTGGGGGAGCTTCTTAAGGATTCTGACCTCATCAGGGAGGGCGGGGTGGGGGGCTGCCCAAGCAAGGGGCGACGGGAGCAGTGAGTACACGGGGCGGGGCTGGAGGTTGCAGGTGGCCCTGGGATTGGGTCTGGAAAGCACAGCGTGGGAGCTGGGTGCCTGATGGGGAGGGGATTCTAGCAGAAGGGGACATGAGCAAGAACAGGGTTACAGGTGGGGGTGGGGGTGGGGAGCGGCGAGGAGATGGCAGCTGTGGTTCCGGCAAGATATGCTGGCAACTTGGATGTGGGAGGCAGAGGAGGATGGGGCTGAGTGACACTTGAGTGACACTGACAAGTCATGTCCCCCTTGACCTAGGAGCTGGTGTGGGTAAGGGGCCACCCATGTGGGTTCAAGGGCCCAAATCCTTGGACCATCCTCTGGACTTTTCCAAGGCACATTAGCAGGGAGCTACATTGGAAGGTAAACACCCAGGACTTGAATAGGCCTCCTATGGGATGCCAGCTGCGCCACAACACTGGCCCCAGTCCCAAGTCCTTGTCCTTCCCAGGTGACTCAGCAGGAACCTCCCACAACCAGGTTCAGCCAGGTGACTTGTTCTGGCCACTCCAATGAGGCAGGCCTGATGGGGTGCTTGTTGCCACCCTTGGCCTGAGAAGGATGCTCCCAGGTCGGTCTGCTGGGCCAGGAGGAAAACGAGACATGCACAGAGCAGACGTGGCCCTGCTGAGGCTCCCACGGGCCAGCCCAGACGGAGGCAGAGGCCCCCTGCACCTGCACGTGGGTGAGCAAGCCCTGCCCACCTCCGCTGAGCCTCAGCCTCATGAGTTAAATCTAGAGCAGGGGCGGGAACCTTTTCCGTTTCAAGGGCCATTCGGATATTTAGGATATAATTCACAAGCCATACAGAATTATCAATTTAAAAATTAGCCTGGGAACCAGCATTGTGGCATAGCAAGTAAAGCCACCGCCTGTGACACCAGCATCCCACATGAGCTCCAGTTCGTGTCCCCACAGCTCCACTTCTGATCCAGGTCCCTGCTAATGCGCCTGGGAAAAGCAACAGGAGGTGACCCAGCTGCTTGGGCCCCTGCACCCACATGGGAGGCCCAGAAGAAGCTCCTGGCTCCTGGCTTCAGCCTGGCCCAGCCTTGGCTATTGAGGCCACCTGGAGAGTGAACTAGCAGATGGAAGCTCTCTCTGTCTCTCCTTCTCTCTCTGTAACTCTGCCTTTCAAATAAATAAATAAATCTGAAAAAAAAAAAAAAAAGACTCTGCCTACCACCACCACCAAAAAAAATTAGCCTGCCCTAATTTACGGCCTTGGCCAACGTTCCCGCCCTGGACCTAGCGTCACAAAGTCTGTTCTGGGAGTCGCCAGCGTGTCTTGTGCTGGTGGCCTCCCCTCCTCGAAGGCTCCCCTTTGCTTCTCAGCCATGGCTTCGTCTCTGAGGCCTCGTTGGATGCCCAGGGCCTTGCCGAACTCCACAGCAATTTCCCACCCTCTGAACCCCCGCCCGGCCTGCTCGCTGATGGGTGCAGGAGGAAGGACTCACCTTGCAACCTGCACGTGGTAGACTCAGAACTGCCTGGCCCGTCATGTGCAG